TTTTGACTTTTGTACAGTGGTGAACCCACCAATAAAGCGAGCTAGGGTGGCTGCTCTACCTAGTAGATTCAAAAGTGAAAACCTCATACTCTGCAAACTTTCATGTGAGATCTAGGCACCGGTGTCGTTATTTTTTTTCTTCAAAAAAACCAACTTCAAATCATGAAAAGTTAAAATAGAATATTCGGATGTTTAAATGACTTAAAACAAAAAATCTTCAACTACAAAGTTGCAGATCTATTCGAGTATTGTGACTTTGGATAGGTCATTTCTCTATGTGAGGTCATTTGCAAATAAAAAAAACAACTTTTAAAATCTAAAAACGTAAAAAAATTTGAGCCCTAAATTATTTCAAATTAAAAGATAGTCAACTATAAAGTTGCATTGAGCATTACAATTATGGTTTAGGTCGTTTCGCCATGCAAGGTCATTTGGAAAACTAAAAACTTAGAATTTCAAATAATGAAAACTTAGAACAAAATGTTTGGAGTGTTTAAATGACTTTAAATGAAAAAGTCATCAAGTACAAAGTTACATCTCTTTGAGCACTATAACTTTAATATAAAGTTTGTCTTCATCATCACTTCTAAAATAAATCTAGTCATTGATAATTATTTGAACATGGAACCAAAACTGTTAATGAAGATCTATTTTTCTAACTGGCTAATGAGCAATCTATTTTTGTACCTTTTCTTTACAACCTAGCAACGTTCGGAAATCGGAAAGGAGACTGAAGATAAGAGTGGAGCATGCACGTGTGCTCTACACCTGTGCGGTTAGCACGGAGCTATTCTTGTATTGGGCCCTCTTCATTTATCACCAATTTGGACCAGACCAAGCCCAATGCTCTTCATCCATCAGCTCCTTTGATTCCATCAGCCCAATGCTCTTCGGCATGATTTTAAAATGACTTCGAATGAAAAAAACGACCTAAACAAAAGTTGAAATACTCGAAGAGAATTGCAACATTATAGTTGATGACCTTTTCATTTAAAATTATTTAAGCCCACATTCTTTTAAATACATAGATTTTGACATTCACTTTTTAATTTTTCAAATACCTTGTATGGAGAAGATGTACAATAAAATTGTAGTCCCTGAAGATATCTAAATAAAACTTAGTTCAATCTTTTTTATTTAAATTTATTGAGGATCTCAAATATGTATTATAATATTTGTTAAAGTAAATAATAAAGACTGTATGTCTAAGTAACTTTAAAGTGGAGTAGGGATGTAACGCGTGAGACTTGGAGTTTGATCGCCTAGCCTCACGCATGCATATTTCGTACGGAATCATGGATTTCTCCCTAGTCAAATTAATCTTTTTTTGTTATTTTTTATCTGATTTACTACAGATAAGTAGAGCGCGGATGGGACATCTGCCAATACAAACACATTTTAACAGTCTGTACAATATTTTGTGTAGCAGTGACCGCTCTAAATCTAGTCAAATCTTTTGCAATATACTCCATCCACTACCACAAATATGACTTTAGGTGACAACCTCTCTGATTAACAGAGGCGAGTATATCTAGAGACTGCCTCTGTAAATGGTCAGACAACCTCCATAAAAATGTCTATTTCTGAAAATCATTTACAGAGACGGCTGTCTTAGGATGCTCGTGTCTGTAAATCTATTTTTAGGTGCCTATCTCTAAAAAAACACTAGAAACCCAATTTTTAGAGGCGTGTATTTTAAGATGCACGTCTCTATAAATAGTTGCATATAAAAATAATTCATAACTTTTTCATATACTCGGATGAAGACAAACTTTATACTAAAATTGTAGCTTTCAACGCGATCTAAATCTTTGTAGTTGAGAAGTTTTTGATTCAAAACTGTTTAAAGTCCCAAAATATTATTTTAAGTTCGTGAAATTCAAAATTTAATACAACCTTAGGTGTTGACATGATCTATACCAAACTTGTAGTTCTTAATACAATCTATAACTTTGTAGTTAATTTTTTTTTATTGAAGTCGTTTAAAGTTCTAAATATGTGTTTTAAATTCATAGATTTTCAAATTAAAAATTTAGAATTTCTAAATGACGTTGAATGTTCACATAGATAATATCAAAGTTATAGTGCCCGATCTGATCTACATATATGTTGTTGATAAGTTCTTTAGTTAGTGTTTTTTAGTGTCTTAAATTGGCATATTTTGATATTCAAAAATTTAAATTTTGAAATAATCTTGAATGGAGACACATCCTATACCAAAGTTGTAGTGCTTGACAAGATTTAAAACTTTATAATTGAATTTTTTTTCATTTGAATTTACTTAATAAACAAAATAGTCAATACGAGATTATAAAATATTTATATAAAATGATATAATCCTATATGTATTCACAATTGATTGTGTGATGTAATGGTAAGAAGGTGTTATTGCTGAATCGTAGGTCCGCCGATTTGAGTCTTGAGAAACGGTTTACTTTTTTTTAATTTTTTGGTTTTCTAGGAACCTATGGAGGCGGGCTGCACTTGATTATTTGTTTTCTGAAACCATTAACTGAGGCAGGCAGAGCCTCTCAAAACCGATTTGCATGTTCGAGTCACTTGATTTTTTGTTTTTTTTTGGTTTTCGAAACTATTAATGGAGGCGAGTGCCTCTAAAAAATAAATTTTAGAGCCCAGAGCCAAACATCTTAAAGTGCCTGTCTCCGTTAATCGATTTTTAGTGACGGGCATTTTGACCGCCTCTGTAAATAGCAATTAATAGTGACCTTTGGTTAGAGTCTTAGATGGATGGCCTGCCTGCCTCTAAAAATAAAAAGGTACTCATATCCGAAAATCTATTCTGCAGTTGTAACCCATCCCAAAAAAATGTAACTCTCATTTTTGAGGAGTCAACAATATTACATTTGACTAAATATATGTAAAAATATACTAATATTTATTATGAGTAACAAGTACCATTAGATTGTGGATGAAACATATGTTTATAATATGTATATTTAAAAATACAAATATCGTTACATATTTTTTAATAAATCAACTTAAGATAGATTTATATTTTTTGGGACGAAGGGAGCAAAATCTTTGTTACTATCAAACAATTGGACTGGTTGGTCTCACCCACACCAGCACCACTGGTAGAAAGCTGGGAGCACCAGCACGGCAGCATACCACCACCATCACCGCGTCGTGATGCCACTACTTAAAAAAAAGGTTTATAGTAACGGCTTAATTTTTTTTTGTAGGGGCGGCTGAGAATGGAGCCGCTCCTACAGTTGGCGTGCTCGGGATCTACGAGACCAGTCGCCCCTACAAATGGCACAGTAGGAGCGGCTCAATTACCAGCTGCCCCTATAAATGCTCCACGTATAAAAACCTGCAGCCCCTTCTTCCTCCTCGGATCACTCACTTCAACCCGTGAAAAAAGGTAGGGAGGCATTGGGCATCTCGCAAAAATTGCTCTATTAAGGGTGGGAGGTTTTGATCCCAAATCTTTTGGTGGAGATGTTGTAGAAGGTAAGAAAATGCTATTTCATATTTTTTTTAGTTTTAATGGGTGATTAGCGAGTAATTAGAGTTTCTCGTGTTCCCTCTGCCGACTGCAGAATTCCCTTCCTTCATCTTGTTGGCTTCCTCTTCCAGGAATCGGCCGACGAGCTGAGAAGACCCGGCACTCGACTATGGATGGCAACTTGGCAAGGATGGGAGAGATCGTTTCAGGCAGGCCTCTTTGGATTCTCATGTACCTTACACTTACAATCGCCTTGCGCTAGATGTCCATGGACGGAGATCGACGAGATGATCAACTGGCCGGGAACTCGATCTATCATTATTGGCTTCCATCAGGTTTTTCACATTCCTCTCAGAATCTGCTATGCTAGCTATCTGTGTTCTGAGATGGATGACCGGGCGCCTGAATTATTGGCTTCCTCATTGCCTATCTCTGTCTGCTAGCTATTAGTTCCATTCTTGGCGAGTGAACCTCTCGTCTCTCAGCCTTCAGCCTGTTCCCTTATTGGTTTCAGCTAGTCCAAACCAGCCAACCAACAGTATTTTCCTCTCACAAAAAACCAGCATCAATCAGTTCAAACCAACACCAACACCAACCAGCGAACAGTCCCTCTGTTTGTGTCGTCTGTTTGTCATGAGGTTACCGATAAGGATTTCATCGCCACACCACTTGTATCGTCGGACGCTGCTGGACTGACACAGTGACGCAATTTGAAGCTAACACTGCACTGCACATGCCGGGAGCCTATTGCACTTGCCGTGCCCACGAGTCTACGACACGACTAGGATTGACCACGGGGACCCCTTTACTCGCTGCTGGAGCTGGACTGGTAGCCCCATCGCTCAACCATGCCTGCCAGAAGCATGTCATTTCGCTCTCACTGGTAGTCCGGACTCCGGACATCGAGTAGCGTACAAACCCAAATTAAATTCTTCTCGCTCGCTCTTTCGCAATCAAATGGAGCGGGCTAAGGTCCACCTGTGTACATTTTGTCTCTATAGTTTGGCTGTGTTTTTGCTTGCCCCTTTTTGACCCTAGTGTCACTTTATACATATAACTCCTCTTTATCCCCTTAATGAATGACAGAGCTCCTTCCCCTTACTTAAAAAAAAATGCCAGAAAAATGGTGAGGACTACAGCTCTGTTCTCTACGATCAAATCAACTGGTGCCACGATGAAATGGCCATTATTTACATGCAATAGTTGTGCGCTCAACTGCTCACCCTCATGATCAACATTATTGCGCGCCTACTATACTGCATTCATACAGATTATTCAGCCTATCTGCACAAGACATAAACTTTTGAATTGGAACGTAGCATGTCGTCCGTGCAGTGTATCCGGCCGTCCTTGTCGATCTGGGCACAGGACATCCATCTGCTTCTACTTTGTTCCCTTCCTTTTGTCTTGCGAGAGCGAGACCAAAGCTACGTACCTGCTACGTACTCCATCTTCTGTTAGCTTATGTCTGTCAGGTTCCCGGCTTTGGATCATCTATATGCATGCATGCTTTCGTTGGCTGGGCACGCACATTATATTCACGCTGCTGCTCATGAGTTGCCATGCCGTGGATGTTTCAATTCAACGGTAGACACATGAACATCGAGCAGCAACAGCCCATTTTGATGTTGCTCATCGTCATCTCTATAGTCTGTATTGTGATTGCCAGTGTTGAGAAACTTATATATAAATAAATATGAAGCCTAACATTGGCAGTAGTTATGCTGCCTGTAATATGACAGCAACCATGCATGATTGAACAATGTTTGCAAGACAGCAGTACCAGCAAAGGATGCAGGACGCAGTACAAAGAGCATCCCTGATCAGGCTCAAGAAAGAAACCTGGACTGATCGACACCATCAAGTGATGTGAGGACAAGATTCCCAAGTGCAAAAGGCAGGGCACATGGGTTGGCTTTTGCTAGCGATGTTTCGGTTGTTCTGAGTCGGTAGGCTACTTTCTAAGAGGTTGTTCATCACCTCATCATGCCTGGTCTAGATCAAAGCAATGAGGGGACAGGGGGCACCTCGCACAAGCATTACACACCAATCATTTGTTGGATCATACATTCATACTAGTGGAACTGGCAGCCGGACATTCTCCTGGCTCTGAATTATGGCTAACATTTGCGCCTCTTCCTCTATATGAATTACAAAAATGAAATTGGCAGAGTTTCTTGATGGTTGGTTGTCAAAAAACAAAAAACATTGCTGCTGACTGAACAGAGATAATATGCATGATGACATCACCGAAGCCTGAACTACACTTGCTACATACGCCTAAAAGGAAAATTAAGTAGCTGTAGCGGCACAGTAAGATCCTTTTTGCAGATGGAGTGCCGACATCTTGGCCTGGCATTGGAATTGGCAGCATCGACACACTGTTTGTGCCATGTCTGTATCTTCCCTTTCAGCTTGTATAGGCCGCAGCTGTTCATGGGTATAGAGAGTGATGGCTGAGGAATAACCGTGCAGGAATCTGCTGACGCTTACTGCCCCTACGCTGCCACGTCTCTGGGTAACTATCTTTACAGGGCTGCTATCCACCCTTCACTGTCTCTGAATGTCTATCAGACTGTCACTTGCCATGCATGCTTTCATGCTTTGGATCAAGCATGCATGGTCCAGATCTGGCCTTTCACAATGGATATGGTACGGCAGCTCTAAGTTTTGATGGCGGAAGAATATCCAGCTTCATCCCCACAAGTGAGCAACAGAACTTTATATTTCATATAAAACAGAGACAATTCACGAATACAAACTAACCACTCTGAATTCGATCTTTGTGAGAGGTCCCAGAAGAAGCAAGCAAGCATGTGTTGCGCAAGCAAAGGCAGCCAACAGTGAGGCCAGCTTATCCTTCCAAATTGTACACCACTAGCTAAAGCTAAACTGCTGGCTAGATTCCCTTTCCCTCTCCTTTTGGGCTGGCTCAAGCTCAAACGATGCAGTATGTATTCCGCGAGAAAGCAAGAGATCGAAGAACATTGAATCTGCTCTCGATCTGTCTTTTCCCTTTATCTACGATGATGCGATCGAAGCCTGCATTAATTGATGCCACAAAAACACTCATAAACAAAGTTCTTAACAGCCAACTAATGTAAATACTACTAGTAGTACTATATAGTCACGGTAGCTATGAGCCTATGACAACATGCATGGCGTGGCGTGCTGATTATTAAGGGTGGAAGCGCTGCATGCAGGCGTGGCAAGTGATCTCGAGCGCGGCGGCGGAGCCAGCGGCGTTCCGGCGCGCGGCCATGGCCTTCACGCGCTCCACCTTCCCCACCTCGCCGCGGGCGCGCTCCCAGATGGCCCGCGCCCGCGCGAACTCCCGCTCTGCCAGCTCCAGCTCCCGCCGCGCCAGCTCCATCACGCGCTCCGCGTACGCCCGCTCCGCCGACGCCATCCGGGCCTGCTCCGCCGCCTGCTGCTTCAGCGCCTGCACGTCCACCTTCGCCGCCGCCCTCTTGCTCTGGTCAGCAGTCGTAGTGCCTCCTGCTTGATGATCTGCTGCCCGTGGCGTCGGTGGCCCAATGCTGATGGACAGGCTCAGGTCCAGCTGCGGGTGGTCAGAGGGGCTGGCCGGCGACCGAGGGGCGTGGAGGTAGGCAGCGTTCAGAGGTGTGGCTGTGGGGAGGAGGAGAAGCTGGAGCTCCTTCTCGCCTTGCTGGGGCTCCATGGCCGCTGAGAAGAGGGGACTGAGCATGGCAGTGGGCAGTGGTGATCTTAGTGCTTGCTTGGGCTGTTGCGCTGTGGCAGTATGGAGATCTTTATACGATAACGTCGATGCTGATTTTACCAGAAGGCCCCTGTCATTCCTCGCGGCTGGCGTGCTGCTACTGATGCAGGCAAATGAACCCGGGTGCACTGCTTAAATAACTTACACAATTTTATTGAAACATACGGTGAAAATAAGGCGTTGAATGGCAAAAAAAAAAAAAAAATCCCTGGTGCGTGTGCACCAGGTAACTTCAACGTGGCTTCGCCCCTGCTCATGGTACTACGCAAGTGGAGTCCTCATGCCATGGAACTGAAGCATACCCCGCGCGTTGTTGCGGGAATTGTGGATTAATGGATTGCGTGCCACGATGACGTAGACAACAACATGCTTACGTGTCTTGTTGTGGACATTATAGTTGTATGTGCTAGTGGATTTTTATTGTATGTGACAGTGCATTGCTTAGTGGGACAACTTGCATGTTGAGATAAATAGCTAGTGAGGTTTTACTCAGTGGACTTAATTGTATGTGGCAGTGCATTGCTTAGTTGGACAACTTGCATGTTGAGATAAATAGCTAGTGTGGTTTTGCTTTTATAAGAGTATAAGATGTCGAAACCTTCCTCGAGGTATATATGTCACCATCTCACTTTTCAACTTCTCCTATCAGTAGACGGGTGTGCTTATAGATGGCCAAATGGGCCGCCCGGCACGGCATGACATGGACCTAGCCAAGTCATGGGCTGATGGTTGTAGATTCGGCAAGGAGATGAAGCGAGTAGAGCCGTGAAGGAGTGGGGGGGTTGGGCATGTTGGGCTAGGGTCGTGCCACCCGTTATTTTGGACCGGGCTAGGCTGGCGCGCTGATCAAGGGAGTCCAAGCACAGATCCATAGTCATGATAGGACCGCATAGGCCCAATGGCCATCGGGCTAGGTCAAAACCCCGAGTCATGGGCCGTGGGCCTTTTGTACATATATAGGTGTGCTGTTAAATTACGTTTTGACCATGTAATAAAGGTCCGTTCGGCAAGGTTTTTTCTGATTCCACTTACACAATATATAAATACCCTGCGAAAATCGTGGCAGAAACACAAAAAACCCTAGTTTGCCAGACAATTTCCCAAGAAACATAAATCTTACAAGAGAAACAATGCGTATTTCTTAGAAAAAATTGGAACATAAACAATTTTCAAGAAACAACACAATATTCCTACCAAACGGGTCTTACATCACACCTCTTTTAAGGTAGGGGTAATTGCAAAAACCACCATACGTGTCACTTGACTTTTGGCATATTGCCCCCTAGGATGCTTTTATTCAACCCACTACACTTGCGCTTATTTGATTTCGCTCACACTGGTACAGAGACGGGCTTTACTCCCGGTGGGGAACTCCCTCTAGTCCCGGTTTCCCACCCGGGAGCAAGCATCCGGGACTAAAGGGGGAACCGGGACTAAAGGGGGTCCTTTAGTCCCGGTGGGTAACACCAACCAGGACTAAAAGTGCCTCCTGACATGCCACGAGGCCGGCACTCTTTAGTCCCGGTTGGTAACCCCAACCGGAACTAAAGGTTTTTTTTTCTTTTTTTGTTTCTATTTCTATTTTCCTTTTTTTTCTATTTTCACGCTGCTACCAGGTTTTTTTATTTCTATTTCTATTTTCCTTTTTTTCCTATTTTTAATTGATGATTCGTTTTGGTTTTTGAATACGCATTCTACGCTGCTAGAATATACGTACATTTATAATGTTCAACATTTTATATAAACTATAGTACAAATGATCTTTAGTCAAGGATCGGTGGTACAATCCTGTTCAAGTTCGTCTTTGCTTGGTTCGAGAGCTAAGCTTTTAAGTTAGCTTTCACTCTTACGAGCAAGCGAGGTGGTGCTAATAGGTGGGATCGGCAGCAATTCCAAAGCATATTGCGTCTTGGGCCGGCCCATCGAGGCTTCAGAACGCCTTGGGACTAAAGACCTTTAGTCGGTACCGATAATACCAAACGGGACTAAAGGTACTAAAGGTATACCTTTAGTCCCGGCTCGTAATACCCAACCGGGACTAAAGGTCTTCGTTTTCGATGTCGACAATAAATGTAGCAGGTAAATGCAAGCGGGACTAAAGCTCGTAAATGCAAGCGAGGTAAATGCAAGCCGGGACTAAATCTCGTAAATGCAAGCGGTACAAGTAAAGCACCGGGACTAAAAGTTGAAGGTTGGTCATCATTTCGTAAATGCAAGCAGATACAAGTAAAGCACCGGGACTAAAAGTTCGATCTTGGTCATCACTCGTAAATGCAAGCATGTACAAGTAAAGCACCGGGACTAAAAGTTCAAGTCTTTGGTCATCGACTCATAAAGCACGGCAATAAATGCACTAAAACTTAGAGGACTTTTAGTCCCGGTTGGTGGCTCCAACCGGGAGTAAAGGTCCACCTTTAGTCCCGGTTGGTGTCTCCAACCGGGACTAAAGGTCCCCTGCCACTGTGCCGAGCGCAGTAGCCGTTGGGCAGGGACCTTTAGTCCCGGTTAGAGACACCAACTAGGACTAAAGGTTTCTCTAGTCCCGGGCGCAAAAAATACCGGGACTAAAGCCAAATTTCGAAGTGGATCAAAAGTCGTTTCTCTACTAGTGTCATTTTCCATGATGTAGAGCCATACATGCCATCTTGTCCAAAACAACATTTGTTTCGGTGACTCTAATATTCTCATTCATCATTACGTTGTTGTAAAAAAGATTTTGCAGATAGTTTGAAAGACCATGATATATTGCTTAAACAATGGCTTGAAAAACAGCGAGCTGTCTGGGTGCAACAAATCTTGCAGTAGTTTGGAAGACAATGATA